GAAGGAAGGAAGGAAGGAAGGAAGGAAGGAAGGAAGGAAGAAGGAAGGAAGGAAGGAAGGAAGGAAGGAGAAGGAAGTAAATATTTATTAAAGGTATACTGTGTGCAAGGCAGTTACACAAAGTGGATAGAGTGCCAGACCTGGAGTCAGGAAGACTCACCTTTATGAGTTCAAATCTAGTCTCAGATACTTTCTAATTGTATGACCGTGGGCAAGTCCCTTAACTCTGCCTCAGTTTCCTCATCTGTAAGATGAGTTGGAGAAGGAAATGGCAAACCACTCCAGTATCTTTGCCAAGAAAACCCCAAATGGGGTCAGGAAGAGAAGGACACAACTAAACAACCACAACAACAACAAGACTGCAGAACTAGGTCAGGGTCAAATTTTAAATACAAGTCATATGACTTTCCACTATATTATGCTACTTCTGTTATAATTACTGCTATCCCTTCTAACTCCCAATCTATGACCCTACATTTTATTTCCTTCTCCTTCCTTCCTTCCCTCCTTCCTTCCTTCCTTCCTTCCTTCCTTCCTTCCTTCCTTCCTTCCTTCCTTCCTTCCCTAGGATATGACTGAAACAACTGAACAACAACACAATGTGCCAGGCACTGTGCTGAGTGCTTTACAAATATTATCCCATTTTATTCCCACAACAACCCTGTGACATATTTCTCCCCATTTTACAGTTGAAGAAACTGCAACAGACAGAGGTTAAGTGACCTGCCCAAGGTTACATATCTAGTAAGTGTCTAAGAATAGGTTTGAATTCAGATCTTCCTGACTCCAGGCCCAACACTCTATGCACTGTGCTACCTAGATCGTCCTTAATGTTCCAGCTTTGATAAGCAATGATATGAGGATTCTCAGGTGCCACTTGTATAAAGTAAAGTTGATGATATTTGTCTATGAAGCACAATCATAACCACAGAGGCAGTGAATGGTACACATTAATAAAGTTTCGATGGAATTCAAAGTAAGGGAAAGGTCATGATAGGATGGAGTTAATCAGGGCAGGCTACTTGGCAGAAGTGAAACTAGATGAGCTTTGAATGAAGTTATAGGCAAGAAGCTCAACAGGAAGGAAAGATTCCTAACAACTAGAACTATCTCAGGTGGAATGGGCTACCTTGGAAGGTAGTGAGTTCCCCATCACTGAAAGTCTTTGAGGGAAGGCTGGACTACCCACCTGGGGATATTGTAGAGTGCTTTGGAGAGAGCTGAACTAAATGATCTCTCACGTCTCTTTAATTTGTGTAGTACTATAATTCTATGGCTTCATGGAAAGGAGGAAAGACCTTTTTGGGCAAAAAGATCGAAGTTCTTGAAGTGTGTACCAATGGTGGCCAAGCCCTGGAAGGTCCCACCAACCTAAACAGGTCAAGTCAAGTCAATGTATATTTATTAATCACCTATGTTCCAGGCACTATGCCAAGGATTGAGGATACAAAGAAAGGCAAAAGGCAGTCCTCACCCTCAAGAAGCTCACAGTCTAATGGGGGAATGCCATGTACAAATGAGATATACACAGGATAAATAGGAGATAACCAAAGAGGAACCTTGCTCATGCCACATACAGACCCAATGATGGACAGCATATCTAATATCCAAAAATAAGCCTTACTAAGTGGCTTGTCACCAGATAGTTGGCCACCAAGTGATAAATTCTGGGTCATAACAACTCAGAAAAAGTCTGCTAAAATATGAAGGGGTCATAACCTGCCTCAGTGGAGAAACCACACACACTGGCAAATCCACAAATTTTTGGACTATTAAATACAGTCATCACATTCTGCCTATTTATTGTTATTCAGTAGCATCCAACTCTTCATCACTCCATTTGGGGTTTTCTTTGTAGAGATCCTGGAGGGGTTTGCCATTTCTTTTTCCAGCTCATCTTACAGATGAGGAAATTGAGACAAACAGGGTTAATTGACTTGTCCAAGCTAGGAAGTGTCTGAGGCCAAATTTGAACTTAGGAAGAGGAGTCTTCCTGACCCCAGGCCCTACACTCTAACCATTGTTCCACCTAACTGCTCATCCTGCCCATGTCCTGCCTTAATATTTCTATACAACCAGTTGCCTGTGGGTCAGGGTTATTGTGTCTGTCTATGACTGAACCTCTAAGAGAGCAGTCCACTGTATCAGGGAGATTGTTTTTAGAGTGACTAGCAAAGGATTATGTACGATTGGTTACTCAATAAGAGATACTTCTTGATGGCAATAATGATAAAGAAAAGAGTAATAGCTCCCATTTCCATAATGTTTTTCTTCTAACAACCCTGTGAGGTACCTAGAATAATTATCATTATTACTATACTACATGAATATGCAAAGGGTGTATGAGTTCACCTTTATGGAGGGGACTCTACGCATAGGAATTCTCCCTACCATCACAGTTTGGAACCCATCATGATTTAGTAGGCTCATATCTTTAGAGAAAGAAAAGGCTTTAGACACCAACTATTTTAACAGGCTGAGAGAGATTAAGTAACTTACACAAGGTCACCTAGCTAGTAAACATCACAGGCAGGATTTGAATTTAGGTCTTCCTGACTCCTAATCTAGTTTTCTCACTGTTCCTTGATACCTCTGTCCCTGTATTAAAGAGGAAGAAATGGAAATTTGCCAAAGGTAAGTGACTTAGCTTTAGTAGCATGGTTTGGAAATATAAGAGCCTAGAACCAATTTCTCTTGACTTCAAATCTGAGACTCTTATCACAATACTAATACTATACAATCTCCCTAGAAGGAATCCAATCAAATAGAATTCTCTCTGGACATGGTGGACAGCTAGGTGGTTCAGTGGATAGAGCACTGGTCTTGGAATCAGGAAGACAGCATCATTTCCCAGAGTTCAAGTCTGACCTCAGACACTTACTAACTGTGTGACCCTGGGAAAGCCACTTCGCCCTGTTTGCCTCAGTTTCCTCATCTATAAAATGAGCTAGAGAAGGAAATGGCAAGCCACTCCAGTATCTTTGCCAAGAAAACCCCAAATGAGGTCACAAAGAATCACACCTGACTGAAAAATGACTGAACCCTGGACATTACACTGAGTGAGATACATCATAGGACTCCTGTCCCTGGAGAGAAAGAGTTAATGCCTAAGAGAAACAGTCATAGTAGTAATGGCCATGATTCCTGAATAGCTGGTTGAAAAGTCAAAATTTCAGTTGACAGGCTAATAATGTTTACAAAGGTTTTTTACAAAGGTTAACTCATTTGTTCTTCATAACAACCTTGTGAGGCCAGTGGTGTTATTCATCTGCATTTTAGACATCTCACAGCTAGTAAGTATCTGAGGCTGGATTTGAACTTGAGGCTTCCTGACTCTAGGAATAACATTAATCCATTTGCCACTTAGCTGCCTCAGAAGATAACCAATGGGGTGTGTGGGGGAGTGTTCAAGGAGGACTTGCACTTCTTATGTGAGGGCTTGCTAGGCCCTTTTCAGGGCTGCTCATCAACCTTTGGTGACCACCTCTACCCCACTTTCACCTGAGGCTCCAAGAAGCTGTAGCATGTGTAGTAGCCCCACCTTGGTAAAAACCGCCTTAGCTAACCCAGGTGGAAGGTGTCTGACAGTCTTCAAAACTATTGATAAGTTAGAGGGATGTCTACCCCAAGCATGTGCAGGTCCCCCCAACCCCATTCGAATGGGCACATGAGAACAATTTATTCCAACAGCCATGAAGGTGCCCAAAGCAGGTGATGTGAAGTGCTTAGAGCTTGGTCAGACGTTGAAGACCCCAAAGTCATTCATTGCATCCTGGGCTATCGCCAGTCATCCTGACTTCTGTCTTGCCACTGGACTTCAGTGACTCTGGAAGAGAGAAGCTGATGACTTTGCACAACTCTGCTTCACTTAAATCTAATTCACATGCAAGTCAAGATAGCACCCCATGATATCACTGGTCCTCTTCAAAAACAAAGGACAAATGACAACAGATAGCCAATACTCTTGACTTGTTTAAAAATCAAATTTCCAGTTATTTTTATAATACTAGTTGACATTTATAAACCACTGAAATGTTTGCTGTTGTTGTTGTTCTGTCTTGTCTGACCCCATGGACTCTGCTCTATCCACTACTTTTTTTGATAAAGATACTAGAATAGTTTGCCATTTCCTTCTCCAGTGTGTCCCCATTTTACAGATGAGGAACTGAAGCAAATAGGGGTAAGTAACTTGCCCAGGGTCACACAGCAGATAAGTGTCTGAGGTCAGATTTGAACTCATCTTCCTGACTGGTGCTCTGTCCACTGCACCATCTAGATACCCCCACTTTAATGTTTACAAAGGATTTGGTACCCATTTCTTCACTTGAGCTGCCCAAAAACCCTGTGAGGTAGTAGATACTTCTGGTAGCATAATCTCCATTTTAGAGATGGTAAGTTGAGTCTCAGAAAGCCATTTAGTAGCTCACTTCTCATCACGTGGCTAATGTGTCCAAAGCAGAATTTGAACCCAGTTTTTCCTGACTGCAAGTACACTGTACTACTCACCATACAAGCAACCATGTACCAAAAAAACAAATCTGTTCTCCATTGTCTTTGCCTCGGTTATATTCTTTGTGGGTTCTAAAGGCAAATGTTTTCATTCAAAGCCATCTTTCCCTACTTCTCTCCTTTTCTGAGACATCTTTCCTTATTGTCTGCCTGTCGGTGTGTGCTAAGGGAATTGCAGACTCATTTTAATATCAGCCTGAACCTAATCTTGTTAAAAAGGTAATTTGGTTGTTCTTTAAATGCAAACAAACACACAAAACCCCCCAAAGAATCCATCAAGCCTATTCCAGCTCTAAACAGAAATGAATTTTGGACTATTCTGTGTAAATTTTCTATGTTGGTAGCAGTCTTCTGGAGGACCATAGGATCATAGATGGGGAGTTTGATGAGACCTCAAAAGCCATCTAGTCTGATGCCTTATTTATTTATTATTTATTATTAATTAGTCTGATGCAGCTGACTAACCCTAATTACTTTTCTTTTCCTTCTAGGCACCAAGGCCCAAGTGACCAGACCATGGAGACCCTGCTCAGCAGCCTCCTGGCATTTGGCATGGCGTTTGCTGTTGTGGATGCCTGCCCCAAGTACTGCGTCTGCCAGAATCTCTCTGAATCCCTAGGGACACTGTGTCCCTCCAAGGGGCTTCTCTTTGTGCCACCAGACATTGACCGCCGGACGGTGGAGTTGCGCCTGGGTGGCAACTTCATTATCCACATAAGCCGCCAGGACTTTGCCAACATGACGGGGCTGGTGGACCTGACGCTGTCCAGGAACACCATCAGCTACATCCAGCCCTTCTCCTTCTTGGACCTGGAGAGCCTCCGGTCGCTGCACTTAGATAGTAACCGTTTGCCAAGCATCGGTGAGGATACCCTCCGTGGCCTAGTCAACCTTCAGCACCTCATTGTCAACAATAACCAGCTGGATAACATTGCCGATGACGCCTTTGAGGACTTCCTGCTGACCCTAGAGGATCTGGATCTCTCCTACAACAATCTCCGTGGGCTGCCCTGGGACTCTGTCCGGCGCATGGTCAACCTTCATCAGCTCAGTCTGGACCATAACCTCCTGGACCACATTGCTGAGGGCACCTTTGCTGACCTCCAGAAGCTAGCCCGCCTGGACCTCACCTCCAACCGACTGCAGAAGCTGCCTCCAGACCCCATCTTTGCCCGCTCCCAGTCATCCAGTCTGACTGCCACACCCTTCACCCCACCCTTGTCTCTCAGTTTTGGGGGGAACCCACTGCACTGCAACTGTGAGCTGTTATGGCTGAGACGTCTAGATAGGGATGATGATCTGGAGACATGTGGCTCTCCAGCCAGCTTGAAGGGCCGATACTTCTGGCATGTGCGTGAAGAGGAGTTTATGTGTGAACCCCCTCTCATCACCCAGCATACCCACAAACTGCTGGTGCTAGAAGGCCAAGCTGCCACACTCAAATGCAAGGCCATTGGAGACCCCAGTCCTCTAATCCACTGGGTGGCCCCAGATGACCGCCTCATTGGGAACACATCTCGAACTGCTGCCTATGACAATGGCACCCTGGACATCCTCATTACCACCTCACAAGATTATGGTGCCTTCACTTGTATCGCTGCCAATGCAGCTGGTGAGGCCACAGCCACTGTGGAGGTATCCATTGTCCAGCTGCCTCACCTAAGCAATGGAACCAGCCGTACCACGTCCCCCAAATCTCGCCTCTCCGACATCACCGGTTCCAGCAAGGCTGGCCGAGGGGGAGGAACTGGAGGTAGTGGTGGAGGAGCAGGGGGTGGGGAGGCCTCCAAAGGGCCCCCAGAGAGAGCTGTGCTTGTGTCTGATGTGACTACTACTTCAGCTCTGGTCAAGTGGTCAGTGAGTAAATCGGCTCCCCGGGTGAAGATGTATCAGCTACAGTACAATTGCTCAGATGATGAGGTATTAATCTACAGGTGAGCAAGGGGCTGGGAAGAGAATTGCAGGAGGGGCAAAAGGGGGAAAACAGGCCAGGATGGCAATGGAAAGTCTATGAACCAGGACAAATCATGCTTTGTTTCCTCTTGTCTTCATCAGCAGCTTTTATAGCTACAATCAGAGTAAAAAGAACAGCAAAAGCAGTTTCCAAGAGCAAAAAAAAAAATCATGAAAGAGCACCAGAGGAGAAGTTGTGGAAGGGGGAAGTAGCCCCATCACATTGTCTGAATGATTTGTGTAGAAGTAGGTTCATGGGAACTTCAGACCCTTGCTAATTCCTCCCTTCTCCCTGTATTCAGTTCAAATCTTCCCACTTTAACAACAGTCAGTGACAAACTATAATCAATGGAGAGGAGGTAAGTGATCAAGATGGTGAAATTATTGGAGCCATCTAAGGGTAAATCAACAGAACTTAGGATGTTCATGCCAGAGAAGAGAAGACATGGAGTTGGGTGTGACAGATGTCTTCAAATATCTGAAAGGTTATCTATCTCTCACAGAGAAAAGAGATTAGATTTGCTCTGTGTAGTCATTGGGAAGTGATAGCAATGAAAAGAAAAAATAGGTAGTTACTAATCTCTTTGGAATGTTAGGTATGGTTCTACTACTGGTTCTCAAGTCATAGTTAACGTTTCAGTGAAGCATAGAAACTCAAAATCATCTAATCTAACCCCCTTCCACACCTGCCTTGCCTTGCCAGGGTCAAATGGGATATTTGTAATCTACTTAACACAGTGCCTGGCCCATAGTAGGCACTTAATAAATGCTTGTTCCCTTCTCTCTTTCCCTCCCACCCTGTTGTGGAGAATTTGAAGTGATTTATTCAAAGTCATACAGTGAATTAATGCCCTCTTTTATTAGAGGTGAGGAGGTCAAGACCTTGGGCAGCTAGGTAGCACAGTGCATCAAGTGTCAGATTTAGAGTCAGGATGACTCATCTTTCAAAGTTCAAATCTGGCCTCACACACTTTCTGGCTGTGTGACCCTGGGCAAGTCACTTAACCTTTGCTTCAGTTCCCTCATCTATAAAATGAGCTGGAGAAGGACATGGCAAGCCACTGTTGTGTCTTTGTCAAGAAAACCCCAAATGGGGTCATGAAGAGTCAGATATAACTGAAACAACTGAACAGCAATGGACTTCAGGAGAAGAAACCAACCCCTGCTGCCCCACCCCCATTCCCACCTGCTACCCAGCTCACACATACACACACACACATACACACACACACACACACACACACACACACACACACACACGCACACACACACAAGAATAGGAAGAGGTACCTGTAACAACTATGGGATAGGGCTCTGCTCGTCAGGTCTTATGTTGTTTTTTTCCCCTACTACACCATATTCAATTACCTGCCAACCAGTTTATTAGTCATCTATGCGAAGTGTGTTCTCTCTTCTTATCTACCTCTTCCCAAAAGGAAGGAATTTGATTGTGAGAGTCTCTAGTTAAAGAGATAACTGGACCAAGAGAGAATGGTTTTCCACAACAGTGAAAAGCATGACTTAAATGTATATGTGTTTGTGTGTGTGTGTGTATTTGTATGCATACACACGGATATGTACATATGTGTATATACAGATATGCATGTGTACATGTATGTATAGACATATATATCTATAGAAAAAGAAAGAAATATAAAAAGGTATAGATGCAGCTCTATGATAGTATGGTCTTGGGTCACAGAGGATAGGAGCTAATGGGTAAGAGAAGATGGAATGGAGGTTGGGGAAGGAGGGATGGTAGTTATTGAAAGTACAGGCCCCACTTAGATCACAGAATATTGGAATGTAAGTTCACTGTAAGTAGGGGCTATTAAATTTTTTTGTATCTGAACAGTGCTTGGCATATAGTACTCAGTTAACAAATATTTATTGATTGACTGATTTCTAGAAATTCAGAATTGAAAGGAATTTGGAGATAATCCAGACCAGGGATGAGGAACCTGCAGCCTCGAGGCCACCACGCCTCATCTAGACCAAGCTGGCATGTCAGGATTTAGAGTTAGAAGGGACTTTAAAGGTTATCCAACCTAGTGGTTTCCAAACCATAGTAATTCCCTACTTTTCCTTCCTTCTTTCCTTTCTTCTTTCTTTCCTTCTTTCTTTCTTCTCTTCCTCCTCCTTCCTTCCTTCCTTCCTTCCTTTCTTTTTTCTTTCTTTCTTTCTTTCCTTCTTTCCTTCTTTCTTTCTTTCTTTCTTTCTTTTTTTTTCTTTCTTTCTTTCTTTCTTTCTTTCTTTCTTTCTTTCTTTCTTTCTTTCTTTCTTTTTTCTTTCTTTTTTTCTTTCTTTCTTTCTTTCTTTCTTTCTTTCTTTCTTTCTTTCTTTCCTTCTTTCTTTCTTTCTTTCTTTCTTCCTTTCCTTCTTTCTTTCTTTCTTTCCTTCTTTCTTTCTTTCTTTCTTCCTTTCTCTCTCTCTTTCTTAATTTTGTTTATGCTGAACTTGATTACCAAGTGCAATGAGCATTTTCATTCACATAGTAGAGCAGAAGAAGAGGATAGTACATGAAACTTTAAATCTCTGTTCTGTACTGCTGGCTTTTCTTTTTAAGTATATAATAAATGAAGCATGTAATGTTAAAAAGAAGAAATTGAAGAACAGTTAGGGATAACTCCTGCAATACAGGCTCATTAGACACTTCTCTGAGAGGGATAGAGGTACTGTATCTCCTTTGGTTAATGATGAGAAATCAGTCAACACAAACATTTATCAAACAGGTAAATGTTAATATATAGGTGATTTGCAACCACTTAGAAAAGAATGTAATGATCAATGTGAGCCAGAATGGATTCACTGAGAATAAAACATGACAAAAAGCCTCATTTTCTTTTCTTGATCAAGGGAATATTATAGACTGCGTATATTCTAAATTCAAGAAGGCATTTGGCAAAGTCTCCTGATATCCTTGCGAATGAGATAGAATGGCATGGGCCAGATAATAAAATAATACACTTAGGTGTATTAAAATGGTTTACACCAACCTAAAAGGACACGTCTGATGGGGCATTCTGTCATTGGCCTTGATTTTGCCAACATTTTAGTCAGTAACTTGGATAAAGATAGAACATGTTTATCAAATTCAGAGATGACAGAAATTCAGAGGAATGTGTAACATATTCATTGACAAAATCAAGAGCCAAGAAGACTTCAATAGGATTAAGTGACGGGTGGAATCATAGGAAGCAGGATGTAGTGTAGAGGTACTGTTGTACAGTGAATAGATTGGTGGACATGGAGTCAGAAAGACTTAGGTCTGAATCCTACTTCAGACACTTAGCAGCTATGTAATCCTATGCAAATCACTTAACCTTTCTGAGCCTCAGTTTTCCTATCTGTAAAATGAAATTCGACTCCACAGCCTCTAAGGTAATTTCCCACTGTAAATCTATGATCTTACAGTAAGATGAATTTCAACAAGGATAAGTCCTCTATTTCATTTGGGAAAAAATTACATGAGAATAGAGATAACAATAGTACTAATAGCTAGCATTCATTTTATTTATTTAATTTATTTATTTTATCCCTTTAAGGTTTGCAAAGCATTTTACAAATACTATCTCATTTGATCCTTACAACAACCCCAGTAGGTAGGTACTACTGTTATCCCCATTTTACAGACGAGGAAACTGAGACAAATAGAGTTTAAGTGACTTGCTTGGGATCACACAGCTAGTAAAGCATCTCAGGATGTATTTCAACTCATCCTCTTGACTCCAAGACTTTGTGCTACCTAGCTAGCTATGCAGATGGAGCTTAACCACAGTTGTGAATAAAACTAGGTGCTTTTCATTGACTGCGAACTCAAAATGAATCAATGGTGACTGGACAGTAAAGTTGATGTTATCTAAAGCTGTGTTAATAGAAATAGAGTATCCAGAGTAAGAGATGATATCCCACTTAACTGCTGTGATCAGATGACACCTGCAATATCATGTTCAGTTCTGGGTTGCACATTTTAAGAGGAGATTGACTGCCTAGAAAGTATCCAGAAGATAATTATCGGGGTGAAGAGACACAAACACATAATGAACAATTGAAAGTACCTTGGTACAGTAGGTGGAGCACTGGTTTGGGGGTCAGAAGACCATGGTTTCATTACTGTCACATCACTTATTATCCATGAAAGCTTGAGCAAATGCCCACACATCCCTTTAACTCAGACTCCTGAGCCGCAGTGAGACAGTGTAGTACAGTGAATAGAGTGAATCTTTAAACTCAGGAGACCAGGGTTCAAATGCTACCTCTGTCATTTACTACTTGCCTGACAGTGGGCCACCAAGTATCTCACCTCTGACTCATATTGGCTGTGTGATCCTGATCAAGTCACTTTATGATCTTCTTTTCAGAAACTGCTCCAGACTGTCTGGACTTTTATATCCCCAGCCCAATGCCTTTTCCCTTGGGAGATGCCTCTGTGACCCCTTCCTCTTGCTGACGAATTCCTGGCCAGAACCTCCATTTGAGAAAATGCCCAGGTCATGCGTGCTCCCTTCTCTCCTGGCTGCATTTCTGGCTCTAATCCTAACTCTCTGAACTTTCACACACTGACCCGAACTAGGTACAATACCCCACACCCAACCCCACCTTCGCCCTGCTTTTCAGCTCCCTTTTATGTGTTACTTTCCTCCTTTAGAAAGTAAGCTTCTTGAAGGCAGGGACTGTCTTTCTCTCTGCTTTCATTTATATTCCCAGCACTTAGCACAGTCCCTGGCACATAGCATTTAGTCCACGTTTATTTATATATCTTTATCTATCTTTTCAGACCTCGGTTTCCTTATCTGTAAAAGGAGGGGTTTGGACTAGATAGATGGTCTCCAAAGTTCCGTCCAGCTCTAAAATCTGTGATTCTGTGAAGAGTTTGGCCCTCTGTGATCCCAGGACCCATAAGATGAAGGGTTTGCATGAAGTGATTAAAGAATCCCTTTCTACCTTTAAAACCTTAAAATGTCCTTATGGTCTCCCTATT